GGGGACATGTGTGCAATGCACATGGAGGAAAACGCACATACATTTCATACCAAAGTGAAACCAACTGATTCTCTTCCTGTCGTTTTTCGTTGTCCGATGGACGGATGTTTATTTGTCCTTTCGTTTGTTAGAGCAAACAAACGCAAAGCAACATCTGTTGCATTCCTCCACTCTTCTGCACAACAACCCTGTAGGGTAGGGGTAGGGTTTTTATTTGTTGCTTATTCGTGTCAGAAGCACCACGCTTAAAGCAAGGCATGCTATGGCATAAAATATAAGATGAACTTATGGACAAATGAAACAGATCCTGCCCTGAAATTAGCAACATTCATTGCGTTCTGTCGCACTGCCAGGAAATGCTCAAGCGTACACTGATCTGGACACAAAGGGCAGGCATGCACCTGTGTTGTTGCCCACATGTCACCACAATCGCAAAGGGCAGAAGCCACCAAATAGCCTCATTTGTTCAGAGTGTCTCTGGATCTTGTAGTTGTGTATTAGGGTTAGGGTTGGCAGGCTTCAATCCAGGAAGCCCTCCCTGGCACTTTGTGGCAAAGCTGTCTCACAACTTTGACATCAACGCACAGTGGAAAGCCAAATGGGCTGCTGACCGCCCAGATACAAACAGTTTATGTAGATGACCCTACACAAAAGATGTCAGGTTTTGACCTTCCTCGCCAGCATTGGTCAACTCTGAACAGGATCCGTAGCCAACATGGTGTCTGTCAGGACTCATTGCCTTGTCTCTACCTCTGTGTGTGTGACTGTGGTGCTCCTCGACAAAATATCCATCGCATGGTATCCGAATGTCCATCAAGAACTGTGGAACGAACTGCCCCCGGGAATTCGTAAGATCTCCGACCTCCGGGTGTTTCGCTGCGCATTGAAGACCCTGTTGTTCCGCCAGGCCAGACTATCAACACAATAGTTTTAAATTGGGGTATTTAAATTTATTGGGGTTTTTAAATCTGAGCCAATTTATTTAATTATTTTAAATTTTATATTGTTGTTTTGTCTGTGTTTTAAATAGGCTGTACACTGCCCTGAGTCCTTCGGGAGAAGGGTGGTATAGAAAGAAATAATAATAATAATAATAATAATTATAATATTAATAATAATAATAATAATTATTATTATTATTATTATTATTATTATTATTATTATTATTATGAGTTTACACCGGCCCAATGTCTGATTTTTTTCCAACATAGACCACCCTGTCCTTGAATGGCTGGGTGGACTGGGACATTAACAGAGGTGGGATTCAGCCGGTTGTGTCCGGTTCGGGCAAACTGGTAGCGGAGACTGCAGGAGGCCCCGCCCACTTGCCCGGATGTAATGTGCGAGTACTACGCATGCACGGAAGGCCTTGGGCATGCACTCACATTTACGAACCGGTAGGGAAGGTAAGTGAATCCCACCTCTGGACATTAACATTTGAACTACTATAAATCCATGTATTTGCCATATGCTAAATAAATAAAATAAGGGTTAGGGTTAAGGAAAGAGAATGGCCCAAAATCAGGGGTGAAATCCAGCAGGTTCTAACAGGTTCTGGAGAACCGGTAATGGAAATTTTGAGTAGTTCGGAGAACCGGCAAATACCACCTCTGGCTGGCCCCAGAGTGGGGTAGGAATGAAGATTTTGCAGTATCCTTCCCCTGCCACGCCCACCAAGCCACACCACGCCCACCAAGCCAAGTCCACAGAACCGGTAGTAAAAAATTTGGATTTCACCACTGCCGAAAATCAACAACATTCTTTCACGGCTGAAGGTAATTTTAAGCCTAGGTCTCCCCTTTCCTAATTCACCTTAACTCTGCACAAACTGACCCAAAGAGTAAATTGCACATCTTGTAATCATTACAGCCAGGATTCACCCCAATTTAATCATAAAAAGATAAATGTTTCAAAAGAAGTGACAGTTTTCGATCCATTTCATCAGAAATACTTTCATTCTTGCCAAAACGTTCAGGCAGAAAGTTTGACAAAAGTTTATAAAACAAGCACGCACGCTTCGAGTTTTTAAAAGTCGCTCTTGGCCCAAATGATTACAAAGCCGGGTTGAAGAAGATAGAAAAATGGGATCTTTTTTTTTTTTTCACCGGGTCTACACCAGTTTGGGGGACAATCTGCAAATAATGCAAACTGAATCTACTCAGGTACAGAAGAAACATTCGAAATAACACCACTAGTAAGGACAAGTTTGGGAAGATAAAATAAGCAATAAATCAGGAGATTCGGTGGGAGAAATGTCTTATTTCAACAAGGCAGAAATATTGGAGAGTAAATTAACCGCGCACTCAGACAGTGGAAGTGTGAAAATCTGAATGTGCAAACTTGTTTTTAAGACAGGGGTAATTACTATTAACTGATTTATAATGTGCTGATTGTGCAAATAGCTATCCTATTATTTCCGAGTCAGATGCAGAAAATCGAAATGCTCTTTCCTAAGACGAAAGGTTGGAAATGTGTCCTTTGCACGTTTTCTTGAATAACCGTACACCAGAACATTGGTTTTTTTTCTACAAGTTTCTGGGGAGGCCCAAAACTCACTCAAATCTGGTCTTGCAGCAGATAGAAACTTGGCTTGGAGCAGCTGTCCATAAAGCCACTTCAGAAAAACTGTACAGCAAATCCATTTAAGCCTCTCTTCGGTTTTTGAGGGCAAAGCCTTTATACGCAATTTTGCAGCACAGATGTGCCCCAGCTGTTCTTAACTGCCCCTTTTGTATACAGGTAGTCCTCGATTTACAACAATTCATTTAGTGACGGTTCAGAGTTACAACGGCATTGAAAAATGTGACAATTAACCAGTGGAATGGCTTGCCTTCAGAAGTTGCTTCATCACTGGAGGTTTTTAAGAAGAGACTGGACAGCCCCTTGTCTGGAATGGCCTAGGGCAGGGGTCAGCAACCTGTGGCTCTAGAGCCGCATGTGGCTCTTTCACCCCGTTCATCAAAAATTGGTTTTAAGCCCACAAAGAGGGGGAGGCCATCGGCTTACTGTTCGAAGGCCGTCATTTTATCACGACGTTAGAGAAACGGGGAAAGAAAATATCCCTTCACGCCATGTGCTGCAATCAAGTTGATTTAGGAAACCGTAAATGGTTTCACATTTCCTTCCATAAAAATGTGTTTGGAGGGTTGGGTGCAAATAGAAAGAGGACACGTGCAAGAGAAAAATGTTGTATTTTTATTTTTATTCTGTCCTGGGCCTTTTTTGTGGAGCCCGGATCACTTCCTTCCTTCCTCTCTTTCTTTCTTTCTGCCTAACTTATTCTCACCCCTATGGGCGAGGTGAACCATGCTAAGATCCCTGCAAAAACCTTGTTGTAAAGGGGACTAAAAATAATAATAATAATCTACCACTCCTGGAGTCCAATTCCGGTTTTGTAACCGCAACATTGCAGGGACTTTTCTGCCAAATTTTGACAGATTCTGCTTAAAATAAGGAGCTATATTGGGTAGACAGATGGCACTCTGGCTAATAAAAATGCCGGAGGACAGTTTTGGGACTCCACGGAACTTGTGGGCAGAAGATCCTTAGAATCAGTGAGTAATCCGGCTAGTATTTCTCAACCTCAACCACTTTAAGCGGGGTGGACTTCCACTCCCAGAATTCCCCAGCCAGCCCTGCTTAAAGTAGTTGAGGCTGAGAATCCCAAAGGCACTTTTTTCAAAAGGCAGCTGGACTTGATTTTTCCTTGCAGATATTTCACTTGTCATCCAAGAAGCTTCTTGAAGTCCACTCAGCTTAAAGTGGTTAAGGTTGAGAATCCCAAAGGCGTTTTTTCCAAAAGGCAGCTGGACTTTGTTTTTCCTTGAAGACGTTTCGCTTCTCCTCCAAGAAGCTTCTTCAGTTCTTCAAGGAAAAACAAAAGTCCAGTTGCCTTTCGCTAAAGCACCTTCGGAATCATTATGACGTAGACAACTGAGAATCTCCATAAGACATCGTGAAACACTGAATTAGCCTTCCATCCTACTTTTTCTTATGGACCAAGGAGGTGACATAAATAGGGCCTAGGGGTGAAATCCAGCAGGTTCTGACAGGTTCTGAAGAACTGGTAGCAGAAATTTTGAGCAGTTCGGAGAACCGGCAAATACCACCTCTGGCTGGCCCCAGAGTGGGGTGGGAATGGAGATTTTGCAGTACCTTTCCCCTGCCATGCCCACCAAGCCACACCACGTCCACCAAGCCACACCCACAGAACCAGTAATAAAAAAAATGGATTTCACCACTGATAGGGCCCTCTTCTGCTATTTCATTCCCACAACAACTTTGGGAGGGAGTTTGAATTGAGAGCTTAACGGGTTCAAAGGAAGCTTCCAGAGCCTGTAGTACAGTGGACTAAAGCACTGTTATTAACAACTGCTGCTTGCAATTACTGCAAGTTCAAATCTCACCAGGCTCAAGGTTGACTCAGCCTTCCATCCTTTCTAAGGTAGGTAAATTGAGAACCCAGATTGTGGGGGCAATAAGCTGACTTTGTATAAATATACAAAAGTATGAAGGCTATTGCTTAATGCATTGTAAGCCGCCCTGAGTCTCCGGAGAAGGGCGGCATATAAATAAAAGCAAAAAAAACAAAAACAAAAACTGAGTAAGGACTAAAATTGGGGGATTCCCAGTTCCTAACCCAATCCCTTCCCCCTTTCCCCACAAGGGATGACCCCACAAGGGATGACCCCCTTCCCCACAAGGGAAGTCCATAGAAAAAGCATTCCTCGTTCAAACATCTGTCTGCCTCTTTCCAACAACCTGCATCAGCCACTGAATCTGCTATTAGAGAAAGTCCCTTGCTAATTTGCCCAAATCTGGCACGATCAACTCTCCAGAAAGCCATTTTTTTAAAAAAAAAACCCATACTCTGTGCAAGGTGATTTGGGGATGAAAACAGGAGGAGGAATAGACAAACCCGGTTTCCAGGCTGAAGTGAGGCTTAAGAACCAAGATAAGGGTCCATGTGAGAAGCCAGAAGCTGGCAGCCAGTGACTTACCTCGCAGTGGCCAAACCAGGCCAGCTCTGTGTGCAGCACCATCAGAAAGATGCCCGACATGCCCATCAGCAACGACCATCCTGCCAGGTTCTTCTCTTCGCCCAGCAAGAGTTTCCGTCCCCGAAGACGACGCAAATTCTCGCCAGGCTCCGGTGGGATGTGAAGGGCCCTGGTCTCAGCTGGGTCCTGTTTGATCTGCATCTCTTGAGCGTTGCTGGGGGAGGAAGAGCGCTTGTTGCCTTGAGTTGGGAGGCAGGGGCTGAAGACCCCTTGGGCGGCCCCCCATCCCGGCCTCTTGAGCAACCAGCAGGCAGCCAGGACGAGGGTGGGAAGGAGGAAGGAAAGAAAAGAAAAGAAAAGGAGAGAAAAGAAAAGAAAGGAAAGGAAAGGAAAGGAAAGGAAAGGAAAGAAAGAAGGAAAGGAAAGAAGGAAAGAAAAGAAAAGAAAAGAAAAGAAAAGAAAGGAAAGGAAAGGAAAGGAAAGGAAAGGAAAAAAAGAAAGAAGGAAAGAAAAAGAAAGAAGGAAGGAAGGAAGGAAGGAAGGAAGGAAGGAAAGAAAGAAAGAAAGAAAGAAAGAAAGAAAGAAAGAAAGAAAGAAAGAAAGAAAGAAAAGAAAAGAAAAAAAGTGAAAGTGATAAGAAAGCAAAAGTGGAGAGCAACGGGACAAGACAAAAAAAAAAAGAAAACAGCAGCCCGATGAGAATCCGCGTCCCGGGAAAGTGCTGAAGAAGCCGAAGCGCTCGCGCGGAGTCCCGGACCCAACTGCTGCCCAACCAAGCCCCGCAGAGCGCCGGAGGAACTTGCTGGTGCTTGGGGCTGGGGCCCTTCGTCAGCGGGCGGGGCGAGGCGAGGCGGGGCGGGGGCTGCCCAAGGAGGGCTGGCCAAAGTGTGAAAAGGCGAAAAGGGGCCGGAGCCCAGTGCCTGGACTTGGGACTTTATAGGGGCAGGAAGGGCTTGGGGAGGGGGGGTTGCTGGGAACCAGTGGGGCAGAGAATCAATTTCCCCCTCCCCATATCTCTTTTTCTCTTCCCCCCCCCCACTTCCCTCCAACATATCTTTTAGTATTTTATATATTCAATTTTAAATTGGTTTTAAAAGGTTGGGGTTTTAAATTTGTTGGGGCCAAAATTATTTAATTTGATTTTATTCTATTTTTAAATTTTGTATGTATGTGTTTTTATTGTTTGGCTGTGCACCGCCCTGAGTCCTTCGGGAGTAGGGTGGTATAGAAATCTAAATAATAAATAAATAAATAAATAAATAAAACACGCCCGGGATCCAGATCTGGCTGCGAAAACTGAGCTAGAAACAAGCCCAATTGCGAGCCTAAGAACCGGGGCTGAAAAGTGAAACGGAGACCCGCGATTGTGCGTCCCCACGACGCGCTTAAACCCGTGTTGTCTATGGAGTTTCTCAGTCATTCAGGTCATGGTTGTCCCAAAGGTGCGTTTCCCCCCCCTTTTTTTTTTCTTTCTTTCTTTTTTTAAAAAAAACAGTTCCTTGTCAGGATAACGTTTTCAAATGGCGCAAAACCACAGAAAAAATTAAGAGTAAATCTTAACACACAAACTAATAACGGTCATTATAATATAGTGCCAGTAATTATAATAATATAAATTTCTTCTCGTCTTAGCTTATTTTTATTTTATTTTATTTCAAATTTATATACCGCCCTTCTCCCTGAGGACTCAGGGCAGTGTACAGCCAGATAAAAACATATAATACAAACATTAAAAACAATTAAAAGAAATATCTCTGTTTGGCCCCAAATTTAAAAAGGAAAAACCAATTAAAATTATTAAAAGAATTTGTTAAGCCATTTGTTATTTACATTTTTATCCCTTACTATGGTTATAGTTTTATTTTTATTTATTATTTATTATATTATTTATTCATTATATTATTTATTTATTTATTATTATTTATTATTTATTTAGTTATATCTTTATTTTCCATACTAACGGTTCTTAACAGTCATACTCCTTACTTTCTCTCATTTCTACCTCTTGTATCTTTTCTTTTATGTACACTGGGAGCCTATGCACCAAGACAAATTCCTTGTGTATCCAATCACACTTGGCCAATAAAAATTCTATTCTATTCTATTGTCTCTATCCATTTGTAAAATTTATTCCATGTCCGATAATATTCCGAGTCTTCTTTATCTTTAATTTGTAAAGTTAGTCTATCCATTTTAACATAATCTCAAATTTTCCTAATTATATTCTCGTCCGATGGGGTGTTCACATTTTTCCAATATTTGGGTATATAATTCTTGCTGCCGTCAATATACGTAACACTAAATATATAGTTGCTTTATCATAACTTTTCGATACTATACCTAAAAGACATGTTTCTGGTTCTTTTTTTTTTTAAAGGCAACTGGACTTTCTTCGGTTTTTTTGAAGACATTTGGCTTCTCCTCCGAGAAGCTTCTTCAGCTCTAACAGGATAGTGGGGTCAAGGAAATGACCAACTGTCTGAAAGGAATATCAATCCTTCCATTCCCCACTAAGCAACCAGCTTCCCAGAGTCACTCGATCGTAAAATGGGCAGCATAAAAATTGAATAGATAAATAAATAACATAGAATGCTTTCCCTTGGATACCGCATAGCTGTTTGGGGTAGGACGTAAACCAATATTTCCTGTATTTACACTTAAAGAATTTGAGGTTGTGAATCACTTACGCACCTTGGGAAAAATGTGCTATTTGTTGTGTCTGACTGCAGCCCTACCCAGATTTATCTGTGATTTCTAAATCGATCCAGGTAGATTTCTGTAAGCATCATCCTTATCCAGCCACGGAGAAGCTTCCTGCTTTATAGGATTAAAAGAGAATAAGGAGACACAATGGCAGACTTCATCTACATTTTGCCCTGCCGTGCCTGATAAAAATGTCATTTCCCAAGAGACCCAAAGGCAGGGGTGAAATCCAGCAGGTTCTGACAGGTTCGGGAGAACCGGTAGCGGAAATTTTGAGTAGTTTGGAGAACCGGCAAATACCACCTCTGGCTGGCTCCAGAGTGGGGTGGGAATGGAGATTTTGCAATAATCCTTCCCCCAGGAGTGGGGAGGGAAGGGACATTTTGCAGATCACATCACACCCACCAAGCCACATCCACAGAACCAATAGTAAAAAAAAAATTGGATTTCCCCACTGCCCAAAGGTGCTTTTTCAAGAGGCAACTGGGCTTTCTTGCTTTTCTTTGAAGACATTTCGCTTCTCATCCAAGAAGCTTCTTCAGCTCAAGCTATTTACTTAATACAGGTAAATATTGAAAAAGAGTGGGGGAAACACCGCCACCACCACCCCCAAAAAAAAAACAATATAGGTAAATATTCCCAAAGGTGCTTTTTCAAGAGGCAACTGGACTTTCTTGCTTTTCTTTGAAGACATTTCGCTTCTCATCCAAGAAGCTTCTTCAGCTCTGACTGGATGGTGGGATCTAGGAATATAAATCCTTGCATTTCACATGACCACGGAGACATCTTTGGACAGCGCTGGCTCTTCGGCTTTGAAACGGAGATGAGCACATAGACTCTACTCTATGTAGAGTCGGGAACGACTAGCACATATGTGCAAGGGGAACCTTTACTTTTACTTGTATACCTCCGGACTAGACTGTGTTGTTTCTCCGTGTCATATAATACAGGTGGGTAATACATAATTTTAATTTTGTATTTATTTATTCATTTAGTCATGTTTATGTAGTGTATTTCTGGGATGGAAGAGGGGCCGTGGGAGACAGCCAAAACGTGTGGACGTGATTGCTTGGGGAATGAAATTCACTGAAAGCCAAAAACATTTTCTTGTGTAAAAAAAGAGCCCAACGTTTCATGACGTTTTGCTGTGTGGCTCCGAGGACTTCCATTTTTCTGGCCTGAATCAAAGAGTTTCTTCTTCGGGCCAAGAAGAGGCTGAAATAGTTTGATTAAGGTGCTGGCTTAGAAACCAGGAAATTGTGAGTTCTAGTCCCGCCTTAGACATGAAAGGCATCTGGGTGACTTTGGACTAGTCATTCTCGCTCAACCCGACCTACCTCACAGGGTTGTTGCTGGGGGGTGGGGGACAAAAAGGAGGGGGAAGGAGTATTATGCATGTTCACCCCCTTGGGCTATTTATAAAAAGTAATAAAGGTGGAATAAAAATCAAATCAATCAATCAATAAAATAATAAAATAAAATAATAAAATAATAAGTAAAGTAAAGTAAAGTAAAGTAAAAACAATGCCCCCTCCTGAGCCAAGACAACTACCAGGAAGGATGATAACGGTGCAGGATGAGAAATAAAAGCTAAACTCTTATGAGAAGCCATCATAAGCCTTCTAAAACCAGAATTTCAGGAGAGGGTGTTTTTTTTTTTTTTTTGCTTTTTCCAGGCAGGGGCTGGACCAATATAAGTCTCTGCCCTCAAGAAGCAGTTTAATTTCAAAGAGGGAATCCTCAGTATCTTTGGCCCTACAATTCCCTGAAGCCCAGGCAGCAATGCAGGTGGTCACAGGTTCTGAAAACTGTACTTCAAAAAACATCTGGAAGACAATGGCTTCTGTTGGTTAGGATTTGGAGGCAGAAAGGAAATCTAGAACCTCTTTGATGGGCAAATGCTCCATCTTAACCTCCAGGGATTTTTTTAGAGTTGTAATATCAAAAGCAGAAGAGTTGGTTTTTTTAAAAAAAAAAAAAAAGAGAGAGAAAGAGAAGCAATAATGATTACAAAACAACAGAGATCAGCAATTGTGAAGTTCTCAAAACTCGGAACTTCCCCGAAGTGCTTTTCTTCCACCAACCGTTAGCCATTTCCAATTGTTTCAGCCTTTCAAGGAAAACGAAATAAAAACCATTTTTTTTCCACCCACATTTCCTCCCCCACCCCTTAATGTGTTCTTCAGAACACAAGAAGCATCCGTGTCGCTGGCGAATAGGCACTGTCGGAGAGCTGCCCCGGTTGGATTTCTGCCCCACCACTGTCGAGGCCTTTCCTTCCCTAGATATGTCCGACCAGGTGCTAGAGAGAGAGAGAGAGAGGTTTTAATTTTTATTTGGATCCCTTTAAGTTCTACAGAGCACAGGGTGGGCTTGATGATCTCAAGAGGACCTTCTGATTTAAGGATGCCATGTGGAAAGCCTATATTCATAGGTTGGGATACAGGAGGCAAAGAGATAAAGGAATTAGGCTTCTCCTTTGCAATGGCTTTAGCCCCATATTCAGGATCTCTGAAGCAGTTCAGATGAAGCTCTGTTAGTACATTAAAAATGGCTGGCGCTTTGACTCCCTTTTCTCAGGTTATTTGATTTATTTGACCGCGTATCCTGCGGACCTTCTTTTCCTTCAGTAGAGGAAAGGAAGTGGAAAGGCCGGCATTCAGAAGTCTAGCCAGAAAAGAACCAGCTCTTGCTGTAAAGGTTTACCACCAATGAGTCAACCAGCCCTGTTTAGCTGTGAACTATTTATTAATGAAGAGTAATTCATACAAGACTTGGGAAGTGTGTCTAAGGCTTTGGCTCAGCTGTTAATCATCTCTGGGATGACAGCTCTCCAAAATGAATCATTGTTATTTGAAAGAAGCGGAAGTGAGGCCCGAAGGAAGAAGAGACGGCAGATTGAATGACATCCCTTTTGCGAGTTCACACACACGTGTCGTTCGCTGCAGGTTCGGGTTTTCTCTACACCCGTGAGGACCCTCAGGTGGCGCCTGGGAGGAGGAAAAAGCCGTGAATTCTGAGAGAAAGATGGACGGAAGGATGGACGGACATA